TATACATATACATACATATACATACATATACATACATATATACATATACATACATATATACATATACATACATATATACATATATATACACATATATACATATATATACATATACATATATATACATATACATACATATATACATATACATACATATACATACATATACATACATATACATATATACATATACATACATATATACATATACACATATATATATATATATATGTGTGTGTGTGTGTATATGTATATGTCTATATATGTATATGTGTATATGTATATATGTATATAAATGTATATGTATATATATGTATATATGTATATATATATATTATTGTTTCAGTTTCTTTTAGTAAAATTTGTCGTATTCTTTTTGAATAACATTAAATTGTCTCTTTGTTGTTTGCCAGTCGTTAGCTTCACAGATCTCCAGTGTTCAGTTACTATAGAGTATTTCTGCTGCGACTTTCTCGCACTGCTCAGAGGTTCTGGTCCAGACAGCAGACCTGCTGCTTCCTCTGGCTCCACCCTCCACAGAACATCTGCTCAGCATGTGTTCCTTGTTTGTGCTCATGGCCGCAGGACCAGGTAACATCCCTGTGTTTACCAGTCGTGGGTATCTGTCGATCGGTTGGGTTACCCAGCTGCTCTGTTGCTTCTCTAAGGTCGTCTTTGTTTGACTTTTTGAACCATTGTGTCTCTCTACCTTTGGGGCTGAGGTCCATGCCCTCCACGTAGAAGGGTCCGTTCCTCAAGGCGATCTCCTGCAGGATGATGCCAAAGCTGTAGACATCACCCTTCTGTGTCCCCTGTGGAGGGTGGCGGTCGTATATGAGAAGCTCAGGAGCCGTCCAGAGTTTTTCTGAAACATGAATCACATGTTTGAGTGTGCCCAACTGGACTTCCGCCGGCCATCATTTTGACACAGTTACAGCTGATTTGGGTGTTCGTTTTTGTGATTTGTCAGTTTGGTTTGTCTTCATTGGTATTCACAGTAATGCTTTGTCACTTCTGTTGTTCTTTGTTTTCAACAAATCTTTAGTTATTTCTAAAGATATACGTTTTCCTAGCGTGTAAGCCATTTCTGGGTGAATAATAAGGCATGTCATTTTTTTATTTTTTTTAATTTTTAACAGTTAAATAGAAGGTGTTTGACCTAAATCATTTCTGGAAAAAAAAAACTGAAGGCACGTTTTGATTACTATAAATCTAACTTGTGTGTAAAGTGTATGTCAATATTCGCTCCGGTAGCAATCGATCGGCCTACTTACTTGCGTAGAGTGCATGCGAGTCGTCATTTTCGCAGGATGTGCGGAAGCTGGCCAAGCCGTAATCTGTGATTTTCAAAACAAAGCGACTGTCCACCACGCAATTAGATGACTTCAGATTTCCATGGCAGCCGATGTAGCTGTTGTGGAGATAGTTCATTCCCTGGTGGAGAGAGTCCGGCATTAAGGTTTTTGTTTTTTTTTTTCTTCCTCTCCAGTAAATCATAGACCAATCAGCAGAGTCCAGACATATGGGAATAATAATCTGTGACAAGCGGATGTACGCTGAGGACAACACCCTCCCCCCGCCCCCCTTTTTGTGAAATTGCTGCTAATTTCTTCAGGAACATTTCGGGGCGGGAGGGGAGGGGGGGATGGACCGTACTGCATGTACTCATGTTAAATATTTGGTGGAAAGTGTGAGTCAATCTTTCAGAGCAGTGTGTGCAGGAACGCAGCCACAGCAACTCCAGCACTGATGTGGATCCACCTCTAAACAAAGACAGAGAGAGTCTTAACTGCACCGTTTGGAAACGGCCAGTGGGCAAAAGTCTTCTCGCTTTATTGACTTGAAAGATAATGTAGAGAAACAGAAGAACTTAAGAAGAAGTTAAAATATCTTTAAACTGCAGAAAATATCTGAGGTGGAACACATGTGTACAGCTGACTAAAATGTTAGCACAGTACTCTATGTTGGTGATAGCTTTGACCGAACAAGAAGAAATTCTTTTTAGCAAAGTTCACGTTCCTACAACAGAGTCACACGGTATTGAATTTCATGATAACATTCATCTGTTCCACTATGTCTGCAGAAATGTTTTGGTCACCAAAACCTCACATAGAACCGAGCTAGCTTTAGGACTGTTTTCGTACTGTTTGGTACGTCGGTCACCTACCTTCACGATGTCGTTGATCAGAGAGTAACGAAACATCCAGTCCAGGTTGATGCTCTCGTTCTCCAAAATATCCTGGAGAAACAGGTGCAGAATTAAACAGGAATGGATGAGCTTTGATTTGTTCCATTAGCAAAAGATGAGGGTTAGCTGTGTGTTTTGCTATTAGCGAGCAAGAAAACTAATAGAATAGAGATCTGTGTCCTGAAGGACACCTGAGGGACATCAGGATTAGTGGTTTTTTTGAGACTGTTTAGGATAGTACTTCTCTAATAGCAGGGTGGGCCCCCCCTGGTGGTGGGGGCATGGTAACGGTTTGTACTGATAAAAAAATAC